TCCCCCAGCTATGGGTTAATTAATAAGACTTGTATAATTAAATCATTATCTCCCCTATTCAATAAATTCTTACAATCTAAAAATATTTCTGGCTTTAAATAACCTGCATATGGTTGATAAGCTGTAGAAAACAAAAAATCATTAAATTTGATACCTTTCAAGTTAAATTTTATGGATTTTGATGTGAAAATGTTTTTGACAAGGTTTTGAATCTTGTTTACATTAAAGAAAATCATTGCAAATAATAGTGAATATACAAGTGAATTAAAGTCTATTTCAGATCTATACTTCTAATGACTCCACTTGAACTCTGTAATTTTATTTACTAATCATTTTTTTCTTCTTCTCAATAGGAGTAGATAGGTTCAGACTCCTCCTCCAGCCTTAGTAAAGCTTTATCCCTTGTTTCCTATTTAGGATTAGGTTTCTGGTTCCTTCTAAACTCTTTTCATTCTTTTTCACTCCCAGTAACCCCTTGCATCTTAGTAGCATTATCAACTTGCTTGGGGTTAACTGATCAATATGTATATTATATATATGTAGGGCACCTCGAGACGGCGTAATGGTTAGCAAGCTTGTCTCGCTAGAACAATTACGACTAAGTAGTGAGTTCGATCCTCACTGGGTGCCCCATACTTTCGGCCTTGTGCCACATCTAAGCTACGCTTGGAAAACTCACTATATATATATATATATATATATATATATATATATATATATATATAGAGAGAGAGAGAGAAAGAGAGTAAAGGTAATAAATCCATTGGCATATAATCCAAGTGGATCCTTGTAATATAAAATATTAAAACTGATCCACAAAAAGAGCTCATTGTATCTATTATTACAGAGCGATAATTAGTACAATGAAATGATATATAATCGTACCTTTTTCATTTTTTTTTTTTAAATTAAGTTGATAAATAAAAAATAAAAATTATTTGTAACAGGTTTTTTTTTAGTTTTGTCTTTATCATTATGCTACGGATTTATTGATCTACCCACATCAATGGAAAAACACTTCTGGAAATTACAATGAAAGATTAAATAATTGTAAGCCAGTAGAAAACCACCTCATGATGAACAAGCATGCAATTTCAGGTACCCTGAGCCATCACATAACTAGTGTTATGTGATGAGAACTTGAGTGACAACAAGCAAATCTTGCAAGCCTTTGTAAGTTAGTTCAGTCTATAGCAATTGCTCTTTGCTCTCATTATTAAATTATTTTGTAATATGTATAATATCCAAAAGAAAAATGAAGATGCCGAGACATACTGGAAAATTTTTTGTCAAAGACATGTCTTGCGACCTTTGTCTCATCTTTTGTTTTGGGTATTACACATCCTACAAACACACATCCTGTCGACATGGAAAATGCAGAAACAAGACAATTCTTAATCAGTAAATACAGGGATTTCTTATCATGCAAAAATAAAAACTTTATTCTAGACTGCATTCATGAAAAAGTCATCCCAAGGAGCACACACAAAATACTGTTAATAATATATATATATTTTTTCCCCCTGACTGTTACAACTGAGTTTCATACATGCAGCAATCTTTAGGCACTCATTGAAAACTGACCATAGTAAAATTTAAATATTAATAACCTACGGTTAAAACATTGGAGCATTCCATTTAAAAAAAAAAAATAATACATACATACATACATACATATATATATATATATATATATATATATATACATATATACACCAAATTTTACCTAGGTAATGCTTGAGGCAGGAGAATATCACTAAATGAGACACACATAAAATCAAAACATGACAAACTACATACACAAAAATGATTATATATATATATAAAAAGAACAGTATTGGGGAAATTGTGCAACTACTAATGCACACAATAGAGCGGTGTTGGGAATTTTAGAATTTTTTTTTTTTTTTTTTTTATCGAACTGAATTCATTCAAAGTTTTTTTTTTTCTTTCCATCACTTTTGTAAGTAGGTATTCCACACTATGATATAAGATCTGCCAGGAGTGATGAAATGTAAGAGCCAGGGTGCAAATTTACTGTAGATGACCTTGCAATTTAGATACTCTAGACATTTACATCATAGTGAATTATTTTCTCCTTTGATCAAAGTAGCATTTTTTATGTCAAAATTGTAACCAGTCTCATTATGGTAGGCAACCAATGCATTTAACATATTATTTTGTAAAATGTTCCTTTTGTGTTAATATAATCTTTTATTTAGATTCTTTGAGGTTTCTTCTATGTATTTCTTGTAGCAATTATTACAAGTGATGGAGTAAACTCCTCCTTCAGGTTTTAGGTTATTGTTTTGTTTAGTATTGACTAAGTCTTTTATTGTTTTGGATGTAGTAGTAACAAGTTTTATGTTGAGCTTAGATAAATTCTTTTTTTGATTGTAGATGTGATAAAATTAGTAGGCAGGATAATAACAATTTAGTCCAATGAAGTCCTGAAGGACGAAACCCATCACAAGTAAACTTTTTCCACTTTGTCATACAATTTTCCCATATATATATATATATATATATATATATATATATTTTTTTTTTGTTAAGTAAAATACTGTCATATCCTAAAAATTTATATAGTTCAGGAGTTCTTCCCAGATGAGAGGAACTTTGTTTTGTTTTTCAGCAGAGAATTAGGACCGCAGAAAGACAGATTCAAATCGAACAAATATCCATCTTTCTACAAGGTACCTTTTGAATTAGACAATTTTGAAAAGGAAGAATGACTTTCTTTTAACTAAAGTTCACCTAACACAAGGCTCAAGAGGCACTCAAGATAGACGATTACTTAATGAGGTATGTAGGGAGGAGAAGGACGTAAAGGTTATGATGATGAGGATGACAATTAACCCTTGACTTGAAAAAGTTAAGATTATAGGGGTCATGTAAAAGTGTGTTTCATAAAGCAGCATTTCTTATGAAAAAGCTTTCCAAATGGAACTTCCTGTTCACAATTGGAATACTGAGGGAATGGTGGTGATTCAACTCTGTGGATATGGCATGGCAAGTTTTAACTGCAAAGATCTTAATTGGTGGAAGTAAAGAATGGAGCTCATCTGAACATTTGACATGGAAAACATTTTTAAAAAATGAAGAAATTTGAGAACCATTGCTATAGAGATTTATTTATGAAGCTTAGTTTAGCCTGGCACAGGACCAAATGACAAAAATATACAAGAGATTTTTTGAACCAACTTTTAAAGTGAGGAGGGGGGGACATATTTAAAATAAAAACATTTCAAAATTTTGGCTTTTAATTTTGATTTGACTATGACTATGTTTTAGCAGTAAATATGCATCTACCTACCCACAAAGCAAGCCCAAGCCAAGTGGGGAATATAGATATTTATTTTGTGGGGTGAAGTAGATCATGGTGCAATCTTCCAAGTGGGGTGGACCTACCTGCCTTAAAAAGAAAATCATCAGCATTTGATATAATGGATTTTATTTTGGCTAGAACTATTGATGTTGGTGGAGAAATAAACAACTATCACAGCCACCAGGCATACCTCCATTTTTTTTTTTTACGAATATAAAATTTTTAAAAAGAAAACTACTTACTTTGCATTATCTGTTTTTGTATTTTGATCTAACAAAGTTTGTGTTTTGATTTATGCATTCACCCTGTCTGGTATGGTACAGATCTTGAGGGTACAGAACCCCTCTTGCTTTATAAATGTCAAAACAAAGAGACTTAATTAAATAAATAAAAATAATAATACTAAGCAAAAAATTTATTAATTTGTTTTACATCTAAATAAGATGTTTTCTCATTTTTTGCTATCAGAAGTATCAAACATAGTTTGGAAACAAATTTTGTCTAAATAGAAAGACAGACACTTCAGTTTATTCGTATAGATTATTACATGACTAAGGGAGGTAACCACGCTTTAATTCACAACCAAAAACTGATTTACCTCCCTTCCATGTATATTTCATATGGAATAAATATTTAACTTCCATGATAAATGGTTTCTTTGACATTCAAGATTGACCTAGGTCAACTTTACAATCACACTCCCTGGACCATAGCCTATTTGTATGCCAAGTTTGTCTGAAATCCATCCAGTAGTTTCTGAGTCTATAGTGGACAGACAGACAGACAAACACTTCATTTTATTTGTATAGATAAAACTTTGTTTATCAATGTAATAAATTTCTTTGATTTTTTTTTATTTTTGCTCTTTTGTCAATTCTCAAACATAAGTAAAATATTCTAAAGTCCAGATTCTTCTCAAAATCCATGATTTACCACTGTAGATTAATACTATCAGATTAAAAGTAGTTTGACAGACTTAAATCACTTATGAACAACAAAATTAGTAAGAACGAAACACACACACACAAAAAAAATTATGAATTCGTTTAAAAGAAACAAAGCTGATTATAACAGTCAAAGTAAAAAAAAAAAAAAATAAAATAATTTAATAAAATAAATAAAATTAAAACTATTACACTATCCCTGGTCAGATATTTTCTAGAAATAAAAATGTTTTAGAATTTGTGCCAGGTGGATTAAAGTACAAAAAGTTAAATGTATTAAGATAAAAAAAATTAAATATTAGGGAAGACCTGCTTCCAGTGATTTTGTTTCATAAAAAGAAAAAAAAAAAAAAAAAAAAAAAAGATGTATCATGACAGGGAATTTCTTTGAAATGAATCACCTAATAAAAGGCTTTCTTTTTGACTATGATTGGCAAAATGCTCAACTTCTAAGACACACGCTGCCAAAAATAACAAATATATATAATAAATTTTTCAAACATTTAAATAGAATAGGTTTTGGCTATTAAATGTTCCATTTTTGATGTTAAAAATTTGAAGAGTTAAATATTTTTTCCTCGTTTGTCCTAGACTTTGAATTGCCACTTGTAAAAGATGTCATTTTAAAATTCAAAATGGCTTCTTCACTTCTGAGAATAAAGCACCAGAGGAAAAAAGGATGAAATTTTGAACGAAAGACTTTGGAAGTTTGCATCACCTCAAACTGTTCACACCATTAAGCTCTTTTCTAGCCACTGAAAAAGAGAGAAAAAAAATGAGTGAAAGATTAAAAAAAAAACAAAAAAAAGAGAAGAAAAGATAGATAAATCAACAAGATAGAAGCACAGGTAAGAAAAGAGAAGAAAAATAAGGCACAAAGCAGTAAGCAGTAAGGGAAGAAAAAATGCATGTAAGTGATCAAGAAATGAGAGAAAAAGATAGAAACAATTAAAAATGTTACCTTTTCTATAGTTAAGACTATTTGTCCTTTCTGTTGGTGGGATCTGAAGGTATCTAGAAAAAAAAAAATTCAAAAATGACTTTGGAAGAAAAGTTACTACTCTTTTTACAATAAAAAATCCAATATATTTACTATAAACAGAGTTTAGCTTGGGTTTTTAAAATGAAAAAATTTCTATCAGGTTTTATAAATTCCACTTTTTTTCATTTTGAAGAATGATATATGAACCTTAACAGCCCAAGGCTGACAACATTTCTAATGAGAAAACAATTTCTGCGTACATACAACACTATATATTAGGGTGGATCAAGGGTATTTAGCATTTTTTAATTTATTTTTTAAATTAAATTTTTTTTTAATTTACAGACCACAAATTATTTATTTCATGTACACATGTAAAGACTTTATCTGACTCCACCATAATAATTGATATTATAGCTTAGCAGTTAAAAGCAGCTGATCATTCATGAGGCTTTTCTGGAGGAAAAGGAATGTGAGTTTAAATATTACCAAGATTTTATTTGTTATATCTGATCTACACTGTCCATTTACAGTCAGAATGACAGTTGGAGTAAATTGGGGTAATACTTGTCAAAAATTGGCAAAGCATGTACCTTCATGCTTACAAAAAAAAAAAAAAAAATGAAATTTGTCAAAAGGAAAATTTTTCCATTAACACTGCTATTATTTTAACTACCTTTCAACCTTGGCAATGTTTATTGTTTTAAAAGCAATGATTAGTATTATTGCAATAAAACCTAAACATATAATGAAGGTGAATTTACACAATTTTCTTTTGTTCTTGAGAATTGACAATAAATATTAAAGACAAATTATTTATTAGATTATTTATTCACAAAAATAATTTTATATTCACAACATTCTAAAAACTAATGCAATTAAAGTAATACACTGCAATATTTATCATTTACCAATTTATCTCTATCTATAAAAGGCAGGATGTGTGTGTGTGTGTGTGTGTGTGTGTGTAATGAATGCACGACTGCAATTTTTGACGGATTTGCACCAAAATTTACATGCACATGCTCCAAGTTAGCGGGAAGGCCAAGACCGACTTTGCATTTCTCAACTCCCATCGATAGTGAAAATAATCGATTTTTTCATGCTTCTACGGCAGTTTTTCTACTGGCCAGAGTGAGAGCCTATAGCTGACTGCCATGAATAGGCAGGAAGATTCAATTGGCCAGTGTGAGAGCCAACAGCTGACTGACACAAATGTTAACTAGCATGCAAAAAAAAAAAAAAAAAAAAAAAAAAAATCGATAGCTGCATTCGTCACAAGTGGGAAAAAAAATTTAAATCTGCATGGCACTTTACTTCAATTGGCTCATTCGCTTGCTTAAACTCAATGTTGATTCTGATTCCAAGAGAACTGGGTTGGGTGTGAAAAAGTATTTGTTAACATTCTTTTTTCATTCGGTTTTTCCAGTTACGAGTCCTTTTTTAAAGCTGATTGTTTTGTGTTCATTTTGTTTAGTTCTCTTTTTGTAACAGATTTAATGTTTAGTATAGAGCTTGGAAAAAATTCGCAGTGTGAGATAGGCAAGAAGTAAGGCATGTAGCAACATCAGCATGGCAAAAGGGCACTCCTTTAAAGGCAAGGAAGGGCAAAAATATTTTAAGTCAAGTGATAGCGATTACTGTATGAGTCTTACAATTTTTGAATCAAGCACGAGCAACGCTGAGCCATGCTGCTAGTAAAGAAATAAATGTGAAAAAAATTTTTATTCATAAATTTATAAACATTTATTAAATTATTAAAATAAGTGAACTATAAGGAAATCATTATTTACCATTTTATAAAGTTTGAATCAATTGACAATCAGCCAATGATTTGGCAACGAATAAACAATATAATAGGATAAATAAATAGTCTAATAAATAAATAGTGTTTATTATTTTTGTTGTCAATTCTCAAGAACAAAGAAAATGTATAAATTCACTTTCATATGTTTAGGTTTTATTACAATTCTAATTATCACTTTTTAAAGCAAACATTGCTGAGGAGTGAAGGTAGTTAAATTAATAGTAATGTCAATGGAAAAAAAAGTCCTTTTAACACTGCTTTTTTTATGGGCATGAGGGTTCAAGTTTGCCCCAAATTAATAATAATGGTTGTTCAGCTGTTCATTCTCAGGTGTACAATATGGGTAAAAATAGATAAATTGGTATAAACTACCTGAAAAACAAAACAAAAAAAAAAAAAGAAATACCCTCCACAACCTTTTAGATAGTTTGGACACTTGAAGATCAAAGAATGGCTTAGCTTTCTTGTGGTAAGAAAGAATGGGGACAATAGTCTAAAAATTTCTTGAAATCTTAACTCAAAATCTCAGAATTTGGTAACCAAAGAATTTGTGCAATTTTCAAATCTCCTTTTTTTTTCAGTGACAAAACAATAAAATGGTAACAGTTCATAAACATTTTCAAAAAGACAAAAAAACCTACCTACATACATACATAATTTAATGCCATATACTGTATTTTCTTGTGCGTTAGATGAAATTTTGAACAAAAATTAAAGACAAAAAGGTGGGGTCATATTTTACTCAGCTTAAAAAAAAAACCTTATTTGAAACAAGATTACAAATGCATTCATTTAGCATGTTAGATAGTAAAACAGGTGTTGATAACAATTGTTTCCAAAAAGTATTTGATATATCAGCAATATTTGTTTCTCTCTTCATTCTTAATGAATGACAATTTTTTTTTTTATAGATTAATATATAGAAATATAATAAAGTCATATCAAACAAAAAAGTATGATAGATTAACACATTAAAATATATCACCAAGTACGTCGAGTTAGCAGCTGTCCCTAAAAAATTCAAAATGGGTTTTGGAACAGAAATTAGAAGTAACATCCGGTTCATTTCTATTCTTTAATATTGTGAAAAATTAAATATTTTAGAGAAATATATGAATGACATTGAGATTTTAATGGTTAATAGGGTAGAAATTTTCCAAAATATAAAAAAAAAAAAATATATAGACACAGGATAGTTATACTATAGGATGATATTATACTCAAGGTTGTAATTTATTTTATTCACCATTTTTAGCTTCAAAATCATGGGGTTGTGTTATACATATGCAAATATGATAATGCTCCAGAGAGTGTACCTACAACAATAAGAAGGGAAGTCAACATGGCAGCACAAAAGCTGATTACAAGATTTTGTCTATTGTACTTTGAACAAAAATAGCAGAAGCAGTCCATAGAAAATGCAAGGTGTTTTGAGAAGGTGAAGTTAATGAATTTTCTGCTCAAAAAATGGTCCAGTAGGCTTTCATTTGGAAAAGACAAGCAGTAAGCATTGATGCCAACAAACTAAAGACATGTGTTGAATTAAATCTACTTCAAATATGTGTGGCATTAAGATTCAATCCAATGAACCTATTTAATGAAGCACAAAGAAAAATGCACAACCTTTTTGATTACCTCATGTCTTTACTATTCTGGCAATAGTTTGGAAAACTAAAAAAACTTACTGAATAATTTCATGAGTCGCGCCATGCAAAGCAGGAAACTGTTGATGCTCACAGTTTGTCTTTCATTGGTATAATGGAAACACAGGATTCTCATCACATTGAAACTCAGTTTATAGCCTGAAAGTAAACAAAAAAAAAACTAAAAAATGATTTTGCTTACAAGAAAAAAAATGAACGAAGGGCAGTAACTCTGGAAAGCATTTTTGCAGGCAATCAACGACAGAAAGTTTACTCAATAGATTATGAAAGAGAAGTAAATCCTCAGCTTTGTACATTTGCTCAAAGATTTTAAAAAACAGGTGAATTTGGGAATATTAATGGAGGTGAAGTGTATACTTAGCTGATTAAAGAGTGGGGGAGGGTAAACAAAAAAGTGGGTGAAAAACTGAAGTGGAGAAGGAAAGAGTGGAGAGATAGAAAAGAATGTGGAGAGAGAGAGAGAGAGAGAGAGAGAAAGAGTAGGAAAGAGTGGAGTGGAAATTGAGTAGAAAGTGGATAGAAGGAGAAAAGAGAATAGAGGAACATTACGGTACGAGTGAATATATGTCTGCGTATATGGGTGTGCATGAAATTGTCTATAAGAAAAGTGAAGAGATGAAAAATAGACACACACGGAGAAATCTGATTGTAAATTTCCCAAACCATTTCTCATTATTTACATTATTCGAACTTTTATCCTAATCTTTGTCACCACATTTATTACAATGTTTCGGCCATTGTACGCTCCGGCCTTCTTCAGGTGGTTGGAATGTTGAACTGAACCCTTTATTTCGCTCACTGGGGTACACTGTTCTAGTTTCACGTGCCATGTTTAATGGATGTCAGTTATCAGTTATCTCCTGTTAATTGCCCTCTGAAAGTTCTCCACTGCCTTAACCGGGTATTGAACTCACACTCTTTGGGTCCTGTCACTGGATCTAACCAACACCTTTATCCAATATGGCATGTGTCCTTCAATACCTGGTTAAGGCAGTGGAGAACTTTCAGAAGGAAATTAACAGGAGATAACTGATAACTGACATCCATTAAAAATGGCATGTGGAACTAGAACAGTCTACCTCAGTGAGTGAAATAAAGGGTTAAGTTCGACATTCCAATCACCTGAAGAAGGCCGGAGCGTACAACAGCTGAAACGTTGTAATAAATATGGTGACAAAGATTAGGATAAAAGTTTGAATAATGTAAATAATGTACATAATACCTCATCTCAGAAATATAGACAGAAACCATTTTTCATACATACCTCCAGCATTAATTGCACGTTGTAATTCATACGAACTGAGGTAACCAGTCCTACCAGGATCAAACTCATAAAAAATTCTCTGAAATTTAAAAAAAGGGAGAAAAATGAAAATATTCCAAAGCCATAAAATCTTCTCTAACTTTTAACCTCACCATTTCTATGTAACCATAAACAGAATAGTCCATTATTTATGAGGTAGTGGCAGGACATAATGGCCGTACGAAATAATGAAGGGAGACACAAGCACAATTATAACAGGATAATTATAGATTAGATATATGTAAAAAAAAAAAAAAAAAAAAAAAAAAGGGGTCAGTTTAAACTGACCCCAGAAGGATAGGAGTTATTCAGTCATTTTCGGGAACTAAATAATTTTACAACATTATCCAACTATTTGCCTCAAGAGTATGCTGTGTTAATAAATAAAATATTTCTTAAATACTGAAAAATATCACCTACTTATCTCCTTAACTCCTCATTAACCATAGCACCAGCATTCTTAAGGACAGTCCAATCAGCTAACTTTGTTTCTGAAACCAGATACTTCAATAAGCAAAGCAAAGGATTAAAAGCCCCTGTACCAAAGCAAAGGGAAATCCTACTTGCACACACCACACTCCCCAATCTTAATATAAACCCAGGAAAAGAGAATTTTGAGGTCAGTTCTCTACTCTTTCACCAGAAAACAGGATAGGCCAATCTACTGTTTTAACTACCAAAGAACTAATCAGGACGAAGAAGGAGGAGTCTTGCACTTTCAATGTACTGTGAGCTAGAAACTGTTTCACAAGAAGTATGGAAATTTGTATACGAAAGAAAATAAACCTTCCAGAAAAATGTTCGAGAAGCATTCATTCATTTTGAATGTAAAATCCAACAATCAGGGTCAATCCCCACAAGTGATTTATTGGTTTCCATTTATAAAGACTTACCTTCCAAGCCAGAATGTAGCTCCATAAAATAAGGAATTCAGAGAAGGCAATTTTCCCTGAATTATCTGTCTTAGAGAAGTTAAAGAAGCAAGTAAAAAATGTACATACTAGAATATTCTTTAAAATTTGTCAATTCCAATAAATTAATAAAAATAAAAAATTAGAGAATAAATAAAATCTCAACATTTAGCTTAAAAAATAAATGGATGATATTTGTCCAGAAAACTCGGCCACCATTTGGAATATCTTGTTGACCTTGATGTAACTTATTTAGTATAATTTAATTTAGTTAATTGAAATTAGTGTAAATTTATGATAAAAAGTTTAGTTGAGTTTATGGTAAATTATAAATATAAATTATAAAAAGAACAAATAAGTAAACAGAAAAGAATGTAGACATTCACAATTTACTAGAAAATTATTAAAAACAAAAAAGATTTAAAAAACAAAAGAGATTAAAAGAAAAAAAAATTAAAAAAAGATAAAAAAAAGATTAAAAAAGATTAAAAAAAAAAGATAAAAAAAAAAAGATTTAAAAAAAAAAGAATTTCAAAAAAAAAGAATTTAAAAAAAAAGAATTAAAAAAAAAAAAGATTTTAAAAAAGATTTAAAAAAAGAGATTTAAAAAAAAAAGATTAAAAAAAAAGATTTAAAAAAAAAAAAATTTAAAAAAAAAAGATTTAAAAAAAAAAGATTTAAAAAAAAAGATTTAAAAAAAAAAAGATTTTAAAAAAAGATTTAAAAAAAAAAAAAAAAAAAAGCTGAGAAGCTTTTAGATGATAGCATAAAATGCTTAAGAAATTTGTTGTACTTAAGATTTCTTTTAAAGAAACTACTAAACTTTAATAAAAAGGATACATCCATCAGTGACACAAATACTTTACAAGCATCTAGACCAACTTGCTGGTGGACAGGATCTGGGAATAAAATAAAATAAAAATAATTTAAAATTGTATTTTTTTTTAAATATGCAAAACAATACAAAATAACAGAACTGATGATTTTTATGATTTATTGTGTAAGTACATGACTGATTTACTGGCACCCTTGGCTTCAGAGTTTTGCTGAGCTGCCAAAAGTCTATTCAATAACAATTTAATAATCTGCTTCTGACCCACTAATTATGTATCTCATTTATAGCATCACCAATACTGTTAGAAACTTATATTAAACTATATTTAAAAATCAATGGAGCTGCACCAACCACACCAATGTCAAAACGGGTGATCATGCACAACACACAATACCATAATTTAGTTTGCCCATTTAATTTAAATTCAAATGTTCACAAATTTGTCCAGATTAAAAGATGTACCAGACCATCAGTTGTACATCTACGACAAACCTATCACCAAGATGATCTTTGATGTTCTGAAATTACAATATAAGTCATTATCATTCCAAAAGTTCTTTGAATGAAATTATTATTATTATTATTATTAAGGGTTTTGCTGTTATATTGTTTTGGTGAATCCATTCTACAATTTCTCACAGGTGTAGAAAAATAAGAGGCACAAGAATAAGAAACAAGACAGAAACTGATGATTAGGCAACAAGACAGCTTCACACATTATAGAGTTATACAATATAGGCCCAATCACAGTTCCATTAAGCTAATATTATTATAATTATTACTATTATCTATATTATTTTGTTATTTTATATTATTATTATCTATATTTTGTTATTTTATATTATTATTATCCATATTATTTTGTTATATTATTATCTATATTATTTTGTTATTATTTTATTGTTATATTATTATCATTATTATCATCATTTTATTGTTATTATATTATTATTTTTATATATTATATTATGTTGGTGTTATACTATGTTCTTGAAAACTGATGTCAACAAGACTCCACACAACTTGAGAACTTTTCAGAGAATCCTTGCAGAATAAATGATGGCAGTCTACAATCTTCATCTCAATTTCAGTTATCCTTTAGAGCTTTTCAGTTTTCTAGGTGGTGTTCTAAGAAATTACTACAGGAGTTCTACATTCAGGTTTCATCTCCATAGCCAGATTCTGGTATTTTTGTATCTTTTCAGTTTCTTTGAAGTTTAATCTTGTATGATATGGAACGGCAAAGTCAATAATTAAACACTTGCTACTCTCTTTATCTATAACAATAAGTTCAGGTCTTTGTGCTTCAATGACACAAACTGTCTGGACTGAGAAATCCCAAAATATCTTGTAACTGTCATTGTTCATACCAATTTTCTTTTATACTGAAGCCAAACTTATTGGAAACTTTACAATGGATTCTCTCACCAATCCAATCATGTTATCACTTATATTATTATTATTAATAATAATAACAATAATAATAATAATTATAATCCTCCTAAGTTGACTCTTAACACCTTTGAAGTGTGTTTTTAACACTAAATCTGGGACAAAGACCCAACATCAAGTTCTTGGATAAACTGGGGGAAATCAACAAAGATCCTGATCATGATCAAAAATGAATTAGCCAATCCCCAATATTTGCCAGATCTAACATCATGTGGCTTCTGGTTCTTCCATAAGCTGAAGAAGATATGGATGTGAAGAATGTGGTAGCACACTGATTTCAGAGTCTGGGTCTATTTCCAAGGGGAAAATAAATCATTGTTATTTCGACAAATAAAACTTCATTGATCAAGTTATATATGTTAAAGATCAAATGTGGACCAAAATCCGACAGGATGATAAAATAAAAGAACAAATAGGAAAAATTCATCAATCTAACAAGCTTTGTTAGAGATCGAAAGAAAACAAGCAAAAAGACAGAAAACACTGATACTTTCAATTATGTTTGGGTCAGTTCTTATTGGTCAGACACATATCACATGTATTAAAACTGTGGGTAATTCTTTATGTATGTAGGTTTTTGAAGATTTTTGTATGTCTAAGTGGGCCTCAGATGGTAATGTGTATTTGTAATTGTGTGTGTGTGTGTGTGTGTGTGTCTAGTGGGGGCTTTTATCTTCACCTTTGTGCGATCAACCCGTGCAGTCAAAAGGTTCTAATTTATGCCTCATCTCTTTAAGAATGTATTCTTTGTATCAAATATAAGTTAGATTCTTAAGAATGGATTCAAAGAAAGATGACAATGCAATGCAATGTAATGTTTTAGGTGTGTTTATAATTGATAATAGTGTTTAAGTTTTCAATGTATTTTCACCTTAAAAAATTATGTTCTTTTTTAGAACTAGTGAAATCAAAGTTATGTCCAGCATTGTTTCGATGCAAAACAAAAGAGTTAAATCGTTTGGTCAAATGCAAGTCTCTCTTGTGTTCATAGATGTGGGCTTTTAGATCACATGATGTCTTTCTTTTTTGGGCAGGGTTTTTTTTTTTTAGATCACATGATGTCTTTCTTCTTTGGGCAGAGTTCAATACCAAAGGGAAAAAAAACCTGGAGAGTAGAGTTACTAAGAGGAATTAACTGAAACAGAGATCAAAAAGGCATGGCACATGGAATTAGAACAATCTACACACATGTACTAAATAAACGGTTCAGTTTGAAATTCCAACATATTTCACCTGAAGAAGGCTAGCACATATAACAGCTAAAACATTGTGAATATGGCAATAAAAATGGGGACAACAGTCCAAAAATGATGCAAATAGTATCTAACTTTATTTGAAAGGCTCTTAAAAAAAAAAAAAAAAAAAAAAGCTTTGTTTTCCTTTCAGTACTTTTTTTTTTTTATTCTATTGATGCTCCCTATGTTTTAATAAAAAAATCAAAGAATTTTTCTTAATTTTTTTCTGTCTTTTTTTTACATCATTATATCCAAGAGAGAGAATGCGTTTCTGACCAAACCTTTTTCTCCCCGTTAACATCACAAAAAGAAAAATGAGGATAAAACTAAAAATGTGAAGAGTTAACTCCCCTTAACATTATGCTTCTTAAAACATAAAATTAGTGGTTCCTAAACAACTTTAACAAAATATTGCAATAATAATCATAGATATGAATGCTGGTCATTATTTTAAGAATTGGGTACAAATGAAAAAATTTGAAATTGACAACTTTTTCTATTTCACTGAAACAGCTGTTTAACATCTATCTTCCCGTCTTTCTTCCATTTTCTCACTGAAACCAAGTAGTGTCATTTCCCCTCTTTCCACATGATCAAAACATTACCAAATGAAGTTCATTACAAGAAAAAAAAACAGTCAGTTTAAGTAAAATACTTGTATATAAAAAAGCTGGGAACTTAACACAATTGTAATTTTTTCTGCCATTGCTGTTTTGGATGACTGACATGACATTTATTCAAGACATTTAGCAAAAATTAATCAGATAAAACTAAATGAACACTGACATTATTTTCTTGTCCTGAGGGCCAATCAACCAAAATGAAATTGTACTCAAATGGCCAAAGAAATTTTAGAATGCATTAAATGATGCAGTTACGTTCGATATCTTCTTGATCAACAGATGTTGAGGCTAGAAGAATTTTTCAATTTTCCTTGAACTAGAAATATCCATTACTCTAATTGTATCTATTTACATCATTTTTGGACTGTTGTCCTCATCTTTATTGTCATATTCACAACATTTCGGCCGTTGTACACTCCAGCCTTCTTCAGGTGATTGGAATTACGAACTAAACCCTTTATTTCATCCACCAGGGTAGATTGTTCTAGTTCCATGTCTCTTCCAGATGCCTCAGTTATCTCCCTTTAACTCAACTCTCTAAGTT